AAATGTATTAAGGACCTTAATTTAGCAGAAATTAGATGCAACCCCAGATAATTCTTTCAAAAGCTGTATTTTTCTGGCATTAAGTTACATATACTATCAGGGTAAAAGAAAATAATAATCTATCCTGCTATATTATATAATCATTCCTAAAAAGTTAATACTAACCAGAGATATAGTAATGGAATTGAAAGCACTTGACATTTATACTTGCACTAACCAACTACAGCATTAGAGCAGCTGCAAAACCTGCCAGAAAACGAACACAGGGGGAGGGGGGACACACACACACACACACACACACTGAAACCTCCTTCCCCAGTAAAGTTTTAAAGAGGCAAGGGAGCACTACATGAGTAGAAATTGTAAGAATATGGTTTCTGGTCACTACTCTAGCATTTCATTACTGTAGACAGAAAAAAAAAATTAAAACTGTAACTATGATTTGAGACTCATCCAAAGATCCTCCAGGAAATACCCGAGGAAAGAACAAGCCTGGATACTGTACAGGCCTTGCTGGGCTACAGCTTTCCATTTTGCCGTCTCCAAATTAATGAAGGTGTTTAAATTTGCATCAACTAGAAACAAAACGTGTAGCACAGAAGCAAGCCACATGTCATTTGTGAATTGTTCATGTACTTAAAAAATGTGTTACTGAATTATAACCTTCCTGCACTCCAATGCTTTGCTAAAGCTGGTAAAATGGAACCAAATCACCTCTTCAATGGATTTGGTCCCCTTCAACCAGCTGTAGCTATGCATTGATCACTACAGGATTTCTTTTATTTTTAAATCTGGACATTAAGTCTGCTCAGAGTAATTACACATTCCTCTCTGCAGTTGAGTTCAATTATTCTAGGCAGCTTGAAGACAGAAGGTAACAAGGAGTGTAACAAATTCTGTATTCCAAAATTTCAAGGTTTTATTTGTAAATACACAGCTACTGGTGTTTAATATTCTGTCCACATTCAGTGAAAATCAATCTCTTACAACATTTATAAAGATAGGTAAAAAGCAAAATAAACACATTTTCCAATTATTTATTGTCTCTTGTATTTTTCCTCAAGTCTGTTGCCCTTTGTAATAGAACCGACCAAAGAAATCTGATCAAAAGGAAGCAATTACCAACAGTATTGGCAATAGAGGGAAAGGCTGCTTTCTGGGCACCTCCTCCCACTTTTTTTTTTCCCCCAATTGCACAAGGGAGGAAACTCCACAGGATAGGAACTGTATTTGCTATCTTGCACATGCTGGGCATATTATTTACTATTTAAAGATAATAAATTTGTCACTGACCTCAACAGCTACAGGCTAATCTGCCATCTAATTATAGGTCTGCTCATGGAGATTATATTCCTTCTCCAAATCAACTTGAACAAAAGTCTTCTTTCAAAGCATTTACTGACATAATACTTTAATACGAGGTTTTAGGAGCATGTTTTTTTTTTGCACTCAGCTTCAACCTCCACTTACTGTTGGAACTGCAAATATGAAAGCAAAAAAATCTCTTTTACTGGTTTAGAAAATAATCCTACAACTCTTCCGTTACCTCACAACTTGGCTCTGTGAGGACCTCCACCACAATACAGCACAGAAGTCAAAGAAACACTCATTAACACCAAGCACAGGTGAGAACCCCCTCAAGTAAATCACTAAAAGCAGTTAAAAATTCCACTGCCAACCAGTTCCAACCATCTGCAAGTGTAAAAACAAGGAGATTGACTAAGACAACCACAGGAGAAAAAGTACAATTCCACTTTAAACCTCAATCTCCTACTTGCTGGTTTATGAACGTGAAGATGACTTACTCCTTGCTATTGGACAGCAATATACGAAATCTGCGTCCTCCCCCAGTATTTTAATTTTTTGCTTTAAAGTCCAGCAGAATTTCTTGCTCTGAAGAACTAGGCATACGCATGTGCAAAGTCAGGTCAGCTCTAAAAGCAGCCTCTATTTGCTAGCTGCAGTGTGAATAAAGCTCTCTGCACAAGATACAATGCAAATCTAAAACTAACTGGGGCAACGGATATAAAATACGCCTACACTTCACAGTCACGTCTTCAGCTCAACAATCTGAAGTCACAGGTATGCGAATAGATCAAACACAAGCAAGAGTTGATAACATGGAAAAAATAACCAACCCGCACAGTATTTTTAAATTTTACTCTCCTTTTTTCTGTCTGAAAAATCTCATTAACACTGAAAAGGCGACATCTGCCAAGCTTTGAAAAAAGTACTGTGAACCTCAAAGTCCCAAACAAATGCACTTCTAATATGACTGACTCAGTTAAAAATCATGAACAAGAAACCACGTATTAAACAAAACCTTAACTTCCCCATGCTTCATTTCAAATTTCTTTTTAGCTCGATCTCCCATGCACAACTTTATAGCTACCTACAGCATAAACCGAGTAATGTCCAATCTACAGTTCAACCTTACATTTTAGCATGAAAACTGAAAGTTCTGTTGCTATACAAATTCACAAGGTATGAACAGAAGCAAATTATTAAAAGGAGAAATATTTCCTACTGTTAGTAAAGGTCAGAACTCAAGCAAGAAGCAGAATAGGTTTTGCACTGAAAATTAAATTGGTTCCAAATACCTATTTGATATAAACAATAAAAAATTCTATAAAAATCTAGTTCACTTTATTGTGGTATCCACTTAACACATGCATTTATTTTAGTATCAGTAACTATGAAGGTGAATGTAAACTTCAACAATACTTACATACCTAGTGTTTTATTTTCATAAACTTAGATATATACACAGACATGCATACATGCTTATATACGTACATAAATATATGTTTAACTTCTATAAAATAACATTTCTTCATATATTTATATATTTAGCTTTAAGGGGAATTTAGTGCACTGTATTCCATATAAGGCATCACAGCTTGAAGCCAGAAAAACAGTTTAGGTGGAGCAGGAAAGCTTAGATTAGGAAAGACAGGTCCTGAAGTACGGTTTCAAGCAGCATGTATTCTGTACTGCTTGTGACCCATACCAGCTACAAGCTAAAGTTCAGGTGGTTATTTTTAACAGTGTTTTAAATAGCTTGTGCTTAGTGCATTTCACAGATTAGTAATATCTATTGTTCTATATCAGATTAGTAAAAACAAAGTGGCAAACATGAAACATTTTGGTTTCATTCAGAAAGAGGCCAGTGATACAACTACAGAATCAATGATGAAATAAATGACCATCACTAAAATCTTAAAGAAAACAAAACTTAACCCCTAAATGAGTCAAATTACAATAATGATTTTCTGGCCAAGACAAAAAAAAAGCTAAAATTTTTTTTGAAATACATTTCTTCTGGGTTTATTTTCATCAATTTCTTCCCAGGTTGTGTAAAATGTCTGATGCTGTAAACAAATGAAACCACCACTTCTGTGACAGAGACAAGATTCTCTCATTTTACGTGCTTCAGGAGTGCTCAGATAACTGCAACCAAAAAAGTAGATACCTAACAGCTTTAGATGCAAGTGAAAACCCATGTCTGGGGGGGAACCTACTCAGCATTCAAATCACTCATACCAGAAATATTTTCCTATTCTTCCAGCAAAAGCTTTTGTAAAGGAGAGGGGACTCTGGGAAAAACTGTACTATGCCTCACGTTCTGCGAACCGTCAAACTGCCCCAGTCTGAACTACAATTCGAATCCCTCCATCAAAGAAAAAGCCTGCAGCTCCTAAAACACTCACTCACAGAAAAATCATCAGCATCCCTATGAAGAGCTTTTTTTCTATATACTTTCCCTGCATCTCACAAGAGCCTAAGGAAAGCATCGCAGAACAAAAAACTAACAAAAAATACCCCATCTAGGTAGCTGGAGACAGGAAACAGTACTCCTGGCTAACGCTGTTATGTAAATATGGAGAATTCACATTACCTGAATAAATTACCAAGTCAGACTTGAAAGAATTCTCCTGAACGCCAAAAATAAGCTCCCTTCACTAGGTCCTTGACATGTTCCCTTACAGAGCTTTTATGAGCACTGTAGAAAACTGTAAACACTTCCAACCACTACTTTTACTTTGTGAAGCAATTCCATTCCATATACATATATAGATGCTTATGTTTACTTTTTAACTATCAGTCTTGATAGCTATGACCTAAGAGACTAACCCAGATTTTATGCCCATACATTATTACACAGCCTTATTTGTCCAATTTCACTCAACTGCAAAGTAGCAGAATTTCGTAAACAAGTAACCACACAGTTCTTGTTTCATGTAAACTATACCAAATTCTCCACCATGTGATTAACATATTGAAGTCTCGCTAGACTGACAGCTCTGAAAAATACCATTTCTCCACAATATAACAAGCAACCACCAATGCAGCAAGTTTTCCACTAAGTTCTATCTATGCAATAGGTTTTGAAAGCTATCTTAAGATTGAATGTAGATGTATACTAGGCAGCTAGCAAAAAAGAAATTATGCCTTAAAACTGTCTTTTTCAGATAAGCTGCTACATAAAAGCTGAAATAAGAAATTCCTTCTATACATACTTTTAAGAAAACAAAATTAAATGTTTCTTATACTGACAAATACAATTTAACACAACGATCCTAAGATCACTTTATAACTGCACGGTATCTTTAACAACTATTCACAAATAAGCATTTCTTAAAGATTCAAATCTCTTTCCCAATTCCAATATCCAAGAAGAGAAACATTTTTACAGATCCTTTCTTAAGATCTTAACTTACTTATCGAAACATTTATTGTCAAACTTTTACAGCCACCATATGATACTTCCCAGGGATCTGGAGTTACCCGAATCCAGCATTAAACTGAGCAGACTAGTAGCTTCCTTCTAATAATGGCTTCCCAAGTATTAGAAAGACACATATCTAAGAGACATCAACATTTAAGAAATAATTGCATGCAGGTTTAAGGATCTTTTCAAGAATACCATAATTCTACCCTCCCATGCACTTGGCTGTCTTTTACAAATCATAAAATAATCTTTAAAACCAAATTTTTACCTTGGGTTTCCTCTTAGCGCAGCATGGTGAAGAGCATTAAATCCGTTGTTGTTGGTGATGGTAACATCTGCTCCAGCTTCTAACAATACAGCAAGGATGTCATCACGCTTTTTACTTATAGCATCATGAAGTGGAGTGTCACCTTCAGAATCCTAAAGCCAGAAAGAGCTGACATCAATTTTTACACGCATCCACATAAAAGAAAAAAAGATGCTTAAATAGCACTAGGAAAACCAACCACACAACCAAAAACCAGCTCTTCAGCCCTGAAAGTGTTGCTACACTGCAGAGTTCAGAGCAAGCTACTTCCTTGCTCCAGGTTTTGCAAACCCTTCAGCGAGTTATCCCACCCAGGGCTCCAGTCTTCTATGACCACCCTACCACCAGAACTCAAGCATGCCTTGCACCTGATAGCTCTGAAGACACTGGTGTACACATCACCTTCTCCATGCCTCATGTCCAGATGGAGCTGATGCCCGAGTTACAATTTATAATAGAAGGGCAGCAACAGGGAGTAGACTAGCCAAGCAGGGGAAGACAGGGAATTTTGAGTGATGAAGGCTAAGATTCAGTGAGCAATTAACCATGTAAAAGACAATACCAAAAAGACAGTGTGGAATAAAAGCATAAGCAAATCAAAATAAAAGGCAGTCCAAGCAATAAACTTAGGCACATCTGTTGTTTTAACTGAAGCAGATCACTTTCCATGAAGCAAAGGCCGATGTCATCAGCAATATTAAGCTTTTAAACTTTTTATGGCAAATACCAGATTACGTTACACAAGGTACATGAAAATATTTCGGTGCATAATTGAACAGACCAAGAATTTATATTTTTAGTTTGACATTTTAGTTTTCAAATATGCCAAATAAGGGAAAAATAGTTTTTATTCCTAGAAGCATTTTGTTCATTACTTATTCAAGGACCCAAAAAATGGTTGGACTGAAAAGGAATGCCCTAGACTAACAGTGAAAAAACACATCCATTTAAGCTTATTTGCTGCTACATAGGCAAACTCTCTAGATTTATGCTTCCAGTAAAACTCTAGCACCATATAAGTCAGGAAGTCTTTTGTCACTGACACTGACTCAACTGCAAACTGACTAACACAGGAACTGAACATTTTAGCAATACACTAATACAACAACAATTCTTCACAATCTTTACTGTGACAATCAAAACCTGCCAAAGAAAAACTGCCAAAATATGGAAACACTTAAACCAGTGTGAACAGGTTTGCCAAAATCAAATTATGTAGCTTTTATTTGGTTTAATCAATCATATTTCCTGAGTTTACTGTTTACAGACTAACATATGTTTCTGTTTACAGTGAATTGGCTTGAGTAGTAGAATGCTGGCCAGTTAAATTCCAGTCATGCCTCGGTGTGACTCCCCTGTGCTCTTATCCACCAAATCAATGTCTACTCACATTTGCACATCGGAGTTCCTCAGCACACATGCAGCATCTGAAAGTCCACTATTTTCAATTACAATTGCATTTTTCAGATGGAGTTTCATAGCACCATTCTACTGAATTTTTCAATCCAAACAGGCTTCTATAATTTAAAGTCAGACACATCCATTTTGCCTACCCATATATCATACATCTTTATACGATATACGGTAACACTTTATTGGGCTCAACACAGACTCATTGTATCTACTGTTCAACAAATACTAAATAGGGTCTGGATGGATGTTAGCTGACTAACAGCTCAATCTCAGCAAGATCAAGACAGTACCTATAAAGCCAGGTGGAAGCAGATAAATAAACAATCACTATATTCACCAATTTCAACAAAGCATGCTCATTTTTTTTTCATGTGGATATACAGATTCAAAAAAAATAATCACTGATTATTGACATGGCAAAACAAGGAGGTAAATGTGTTATTACTGCCTATCTTGGATTTGCCCAGGCCATTAGAGCTTTTTCTTTCTTTGCAAACCTCTTCAAACTTACCCATTCTGATTTGTTTCACTAATGCACTGCTTGTGGCTGCATTCAGCTCATGCAGAATGTGGGTGCCTGCTTATTTGATAGGAGGTTTCTACTCTACCTTCTCAGCAGGAGGTCGCACTCGTATGTCACAGCTTCCACCACATTCATTACAGATAAAACTCCCTGTGAAATTATGGTACTCGAGGCCCTACGCACGAGGGCTTTTTAGCTAAAAGAGAATCTGGCTAAGTAGCTCTAGCAATGATAGGTCAATTCTGAAAAAAGGTTTCTTTTAATGAAACATTCCACAGTATCATCAGCCAAAAAATGCAAAGCTATGCCTTGCAGAAGGAGGAAACAGCTGTGGATTCAACACAGGAGGAATTAATCTGGAGAGAAAGTTAACAATTACAGATAACGACAGTCTGTGAAAACACCAATTAACATCAAGTGGCTAGAATAAATCAGGTGCTTATCTAGCCGCAAGAAAACAAGTAGATTTAACAGCATTTTATTACAGCTGATCACATAGAGGCTGGGACAGACAACCTAACCTCACAAGGTCCATTCCTTTCAATCCTATTTTCCATTGTTCTTCTGTCACCTACACACAGCATCTACAAATGGCAAATCATAAAATTCAGTAGCTAGAAAGTGAATCTATGTTAATATTTACTTTACCTGTAGACTAGGATGGCAGCCAAAGTCCAGCAAAGTCTTCACAACTTGCAGATGCCCTTTGTTGACAGCAATATGAAGCGGAGTCTGCCTGCGTTTGTTGCGAGCATTCAAGTCTGCACTGCCTCGGTGCAAAACCTCTATCACAGCTCCCTCGTCACCGAAGGCTGCGTGATGGACGGCCCTGTCTCCGTCTTTGTCCTAAAGTAGAAACATTAATTTGACCCAGTATACTTCACATTTCCTTTGCATTTAATCAAAAAAATATTAAACTGAACAACTGTGCATATTTGATTTCTTTGAAGTGAAAGAAAAATTAAACAACGATACCATTCAAAGACCTAATTAAACAATTGCTCAAATGACAGCAATAGAGGATGAAGAGTCTGTATAAACACACATATTCCATGGCTTATGATATTCTATACCTTATACAACTATTGCCCTGAATCTTTGTGCAATGTGTTCATCAGAAACTCAAATAGGTTCATTTGGGTTTCTACTACAAAGCAACCACTGTCAAAAAACCCAACAACAACAAAAAACACGCCACAAACAAAGCCCAACTCCCAAAAGTGTTAGTCAGTAACCCAGGGCAACCCTTCCTGTAACCCAGGAAGAGTTACAGATCCCAATTCATGGCATAGTTGCCTTGTTCATACAATTAAGCGAATATTTATTACGTTTTATTGTATGTGTCTTAATTTTCAGTTAATAAACCTTTTTCAAAAGAAATTTTGGATTGATGCTGAAATTAGTTACAAGTTCCAATTCTATGACTATGACTCACAGCATTAAAGCTCTGATTAAATTCAGTTTGTTTCAGCTTCATACAAACTGAGAATTAAGCTATGAAAGTCATAAATTTATCAGTTTGGGTTATTTTAACATCCATAAGAGTGAACTATACTATGTGAAACATTTTTAAATATTAATCAAATTCTTTCCTCATTAATGACAGTATACAAAAGCTAAAAGTAAAGTTGAAGGCATATAACAGGTTTCAATGAAATAGTAACTTCCATAAGCTAGTTTCTAACTAAATTTTTCTGCACAGGGGAATATTACTATGTTTTTGTAGGATTTAATGTTGACAATAGAGAAATACTGAAAATTGTAAGGAGGAGAAAATGACTGATCAAGGGTGCACTGGATATTTCTTGAGTAAGCTTTGCTTCTCCTTCAGCAATGTCTTTTGAAAGTTATTTTCATTATGTGTAACGCATTTCTAGTATATTTACATCAATGCAAAAATTAATAGTTCTTAGAATAAGTTGTATTTGCACAATTACAACATACCAATGAGACTATTTACAGCATTTAAAAAAATGATGTAAGGAGACTTATCTGCTAATTATCAAATATATCTTTCTGGAAATGTGAATACAATTTTCAAGACAGTGCAGTGAACAGCAGCTTTTGACAACAAGATATTTTTATGCCTTCCAAATCCACTCATGCTACAAAAGCGTCTTGATAGCAGGACTCCTTCTCAGGCTCCTCCAACACAAACGGTCAAAAGAAGCCAAAGCTTGGCCATTTGGAAGGGGAAAGGATCAGGAAGGGGAACCTTCTGTGTCTGGTTATAAAGATCATTATGAGGTGAAACTTATCAAGAACATGACAGTAGTGTTAAACTTTTCTATTTACAGAGCACTTTCTTTAACAGGTAGGTGGTTAAGTCGTCTTTTCACATTTGCAGTCTGCAAAGTACACCGAGATACTTATTGATGAAACCTCATAATTTATTAAATGTTTTACAATTTTAGCATATTCCAAATTTGAGATGCAAACCCCTGATTTTATAAAATCTTAACGTATAGAATTCCTGAACGAGTCCAAAGAAAGTATGTGCTTTTTTCTTTAGCTCAGCATCAAAACGAATAATCTCACGAGCTAAATCCTATTGTGTAGTTTCTACACAATAGCACAATAACCTAGAAAAAGCAAGCAACTAATTGAGCATCTGTCCTAAGACTTATATTTAGCTATAAATCTAAATATTAAAAGCACTATATTTCTATACATGCCAACAATAGAATATTGTCAGTACTGTCAATGTAATAACTGATACCCATTAATTTCTGCAGACTAGGCGGCCACATATTTTTACTATGTAATATCTGCATCAGGCTTTTTGATCTCTGCCAATAACAAATTGTCTTCTGACTAAACAGAGGCCACTTGTACTCTACATTAAGCTGTCAAGAGACATAAGCACAAAGACAACAACAGTATGAGGGCATCCCCAGAAAACGTCATCATGAATATATGTACTCTGCAGCAGTGACTAAGTGTAAATATATCCTGCTTAGCTATAAAGGAGGCAAAGTCAGGATTTTTATCCATTGCTTCCATGCCACAGACTGTAACAGTGAAGTAAATCACTAAATTTTTGCTCTCTGCTTAACGGGATGGCTCTGCGGGGTCTTTGCATCACTAATTTATAGACAGCTGATTTTTTTTAAGCATATCATAATTCATCTACTCATACTATATATGTGATTATTATAATAATGAATTCAATTGTATATTTAAGTAGGAATACCACCTTTACTTAGGCAACTCAAAGTAACATGAAAGAGACTTAAATTCAAATAAAATCCCTGAAATTAATGCTAGTGTTACAATACCCCTGAAGCCTGAATAAACATGAACTTTTAACAGCTCTACTAGCAGATTACCAGGTGTATTATCCTGAAGCTGTTTAAGCAGTGCTTTTACTTCCCCCTCTAATGCTTCTAACCCTTCCTTATACCAGAGGAGAAAGTCTCAGTCCACCACTTGATTACCATGGCAGCTTTGATCCCATAGCACGGATGAAAAGCAGCTTAGTGCAGTCTGTAACAGTATATGCTATGTACTGCAGTGAAAGCACTACTTCTAAAACGAAGCTACTTCACAGAGATCAGACCACAGCAAGTATGTACTGCATCAAATCTAAGACATCTTTACAATTTAGCAGAAAGCTAAATGTATATGGTGTATCTCTGAATAGAAAAAAAATTTTAGTTCCAAGAATTACATCGTTGCTTCAATAATGTTATAACATATAACTTCTGCATATCAAATACGATATAACATTACGTGTCCAAGCATGTAAAGTTATTTTTCTGTCACACAAAGAATGACTGGGCCCACTATTAAATTCTAAGCATTCTGTTGCGCTTCAATTTATACTCCTAGTAAGAGACATTTGATAGATGCTTCTTGTGCTTCACAAAATGAGCAAAGGCTGTAATATCAATGCATTCTGTAAAGTAAAATGAGGCAAAATCAATTCAAAATGCAAATATCACAGTATGCTGACAGGTAATTTTCTTACAAACAAGAACTCTAAAAAACCTAAACAAAAATCCTTCCATGTTAAAAAAAACCAAAACCTGAAAAACTGGAAGCAGAGTTGGCAGATCCTACCCAAAGATACTGTTATTGCTTTCTGCTCAGCCCTGCTTTAGTTAAGAACAGAAAACTCTCTCCTAACTGAACACTGTATGCAAGAAGCATGGCAAGTATCTGAAGTTGGAGATGCAGCATCCAACAACACCTTTTTCTCCGAATGCCACAGGCAGTGTTCCAGCCTATTGTATTCTGCTGATGAAATGAAACAGAGAAGGGGCTTCATCCACCACAATCACACACTAGCTTACATAGCTCTATTATGTTAGCATTATATTTCACTTAATTAGAGGTGCTAAAGAATTAGATACTGACCCTTTGCAATATTGTCAGCAGGAGGCTAGTTTTGGACATAATCGCAGTAAGGAAAGCAGTTTTTCACGCTCTCTGACATTTAAAAAGAAGGCAATTCCAACAGAATTGTTATTTCTGTACACAAAGTTTAAAACTTAAAGAGACACAAAGTGTATTTTGAAATATTTAGGTTACCTCAGCTTCCACATCCACATTCTGCTTCAGAAGCAACTTCAAAATGTCGACATGGCCATTCTGACTGGCGGCTTGCATCGCTGTGTGTCCAGCACATTGCCCGTTCACCTGGAAGCGTATCAATACTTTGAGATAAGTTTCAACATACACACGCACGCCCCTCCATGAGTCACTTCAGCAGTATACATGCAAGTGCATTAGAGAACTTAAAGCAACAGCACACATACTAAAGCATCAAATTTTAGACAATTTTTAGACAGCTGCCTTTCCAGCACATATAGATGATCTCCTAGGTGTTCTCTATTTCATTTCTACAGCATTAGCTAGATTGAAGGGAAGAAGCAAGAAACTGATCTATTTCAAACATTAAGACCTTAATTTTAGTTGGATTAAAAACTTTCATCTTTGGTTAATGTAAAGGCAAGATTTTGAGAATAGGTCTTCGAATGATACCATCCTCTGATCTACAGTATATTTAATTTCATTTTGTAACGTATGGCAACAACAGGAGTCAGTCTGAACAAAATACCACGTTTTGTACAATCTTGAGCTACAAATCAATCCCCAGAACTGAAGGCATTGAGTCTCCTATCTGAAAGAATTACTACTGCTGTAGTGAGAAAAACAGCTGACTGACGTTAAAGCATGTTGCCTGAACCAAGTCCTGTAATTCTTAAGCATTTTCTTTTAACTTTTCAGTACTAGGTGATTAGACAAGTTGGTAAAAGGAATCTGACAGAGAATAGATTAGATTATCTACCTCGTGAGTTATAAAAACCAAAACAAAATCTACAAAACCAGCAAAAAACCCCCAGAATCTACCCTCCTTCCTTCTATCCTCCTTGAAACAAAAAGTTTAAGACTCTTCACTAATTGTGAGTGCTCTGACCCAACTCTGCAGGCAGATGCTGGAAGGTATTTTAATTCGTGGCAGACAATAGAACACAAAATCTGTCCAGCAAAAAAGGCTGTAAAGTCGTATTTTCACACCCCCCCCAACACATTTCATAGGACAACACGTGGGAGAAGAGGCACTGGAACCAGCTGTACTACTCCCATGCAGACACACTACTGAGCGGCAAGGACTATCTAGGACAGCTTCGCTTCCTTCAGCATTACAGGTCCCCAAACAGGTCCACCCAAAACAGAACACTCACATCTACATCTGGTCTCTTTAACAAGTCTTCCACTTTAGCAACATCTCCATTGGCAGCAGCTTTAACCAATTCTTCATTGAGATCTCCAGATTCTTGGGTTTCAAATAATTTCTTCAGTAGCTGGGACAGTCTCTCTATAATTAGTAAACAAAGGACAATTAAGTTTAGAATCCTAATCACACAAGAACAGAAAAACAACAGCTAAATTTGTCATGTACATAGTAATACACAAAGCCCCATAAAAAGGCAGCTCCAAGTTACTACTCCGTTCTGAGTAAGCGCTGTACTCCAATGCCCTTTAGACAGTTGAGACTGTCACATCAGACGCTTCAAAACAAAGTGGATTGAACCACAAATAGCTCGCGTACCACAAAAAATAGACGGGGGGGAGACAAGGTAAAGACATCAATTTACATATTGATCCAACAGGCTTTTTAGTCTTCTAGCTTAACTTAGCATATCTATCCTGCCCTCTGATTTGAAACATTAAGTCATATTACTCTTCCAGCTAGTTTTACGGCCACGGTGACTTTGTCTTTGCTGCAGAAAACTCAACTGTACCTATGCCTCCCTAGGAAAAAGTCTAGAAAACTATGTAAAAAGGTTTCTTGGCATTAAAACAAATACGTGAAGAGGAAACAACAATTACCTACGACCCAAAAAAGGAAAAACATTCTAGTTTAATTGATCTGTGAAACAGCCAACAGAGTATAAAATGCATTGGATAGTCTGTCTCATTATTAGATGAATGAGAGCAGGTTCAACAGAACTGAAATGTGATTACACAGACACAAAAAAATGCCACTGTAATTAGTCAAAGGATGTCTGACTAAACAGACGGGAATTTAAGGAAAGAATACTATCCTGAGTAACCGCTTGCAACGGATCCCTCGCTTACGCTTGCTATCCCACACCACCTATTAAACAAGGAGTCTGCTTGCTACAGCCAGTGGCACTCTCCATGCCTTAGTCGCTATTCCAATATAATGTCCCTTCCACTCATTTAAATTTTGAAGTCCTTAGAGCAGACCTCCAAGGAAACACCTGCACTGTGGCCAAACAAATAGAATTTGGGGTTTTTACACCTTATCAAGATAACAACCACCACCATCTCCATATCAGCTGCAAGCTTTTTCTTCTCTCAGAGGTATAACATCAATTAGCCAAACCCCAAACCTGAGTTTTATTAACCTTGCATACAAACTATGTACTAATAGTTAATTAACACAAATACCTGCCATACATACTTTACTGGTTATTCTTCAAACTTACCACCAGATGCATTACTTATAGCAGATCCTGCTGACGCCACCTTTGAGACAGCTGCTGGATTATAGGTCCAAGATGTCCCACAAACCTCCACCTTTAAGTCGCTGTCTGAATAGATCTGCTGGACCCGACCAACTTTACCCAAAGTCTGCATTAAAGAAAATATCAAATGCAAGTAATACTAAAAATAAAATAGAGAACTAAATGTTTTATAGTAAGTTACAGATTTTATGCAGTCCGTTGTTGCGTAGTACAGTCACTAATACCTTTAGCTGAGTTTCATCAGGCTGAGCAGATTACTACATCTGAGCAAGTTTTACACCGCATTTGAAGAAATACATTTTCTCTAACTTAGAAGAAAATCACTTTGACTCCCACAGCCTCCAGGTATTATTACCAATTATAACTAGAAATATTATACAAGTCTTACTAGTCTATGAATCCAAACACACAACTACTTACCGGAAGCATTGCTTCAGCCCACTCTCCATGACCTCTCTGAAGAAGCTTGATTCGCTCCAAGTCATAACATACTTGAACAAGGTCACCCACTTGAAATTGAGAGGTACCTCCTTCTGCACCTTGAGCAGCATCTCCACTTCGGACAACATTGGCTTTGGTGAGAACAGCTGGATTAAAGGTCCACCTAGACAATGAATCATTTAAAATAGGTTTTAAAACGCGCAAAGTGAAATATATGTTTAAAAGTTATCTGTTCAGCCAGATTCTGCTTGTATGCCGACACACCTTCTTCAACTGGATACTATGGCATATTTATTGTTAACCATTTTTTGTCCATAAACTTGTCTGTGGCTCATTAGTTGAATACTTCCAGGGTAATCTTCAGAAATACATTCTTGTAAAAGCAATGAAGAAATATCCCGCCTCAGGGGAAGCAAGCTGACAGCAATAGAATAGTCATGAAAGTAGCTATACAGTTTACTTTTCCAGGGAGAGGAGGAGACAACTCTGGCTGAAAAGGGGAAGATCCAAGCTGTCTCACAAAGGGTTGAACTGTCAGGAAACAACATGGGAAGCACACAGAATTCTGCCCCCTCCCCCCTAGGTCAAAAGCAGCAACATTCAGTTATAAAAATACTCTTCAATTAAATGGATGTTCTAGATATGCCTCAATTTTTAATCAATCTATCCTAATTTGTACTATAAATATTACTGGTTTAGAGGCATTTAGCTGTTTTTATACTGAGCTACATTCTAATATATAATATGGCAATCTCTCCTTTATGTGCCATTTGGTCTGGGGTTGACCTTCATCCAGCTACCTGATCTAGCTGAGAGGCATCAGATAATCTCTATAAAGGACAAAGTCAGGGAGGAAACCACAAGACAGAGCAGCTCCTCTCACTAGCTCTGAAGCCATGACTGTCAGAAAAGAAGCCACTCGCATCCTTCAGCTTGTGTTAGCTGGGAAAACAGCTTTGTTTTGCATTTCTTTGCAATATTAACAGTACCTTGAGGGAAAGCCTGAATGAGTAACGCATTGTTAATCCTTTCTAGACAAGCTGGTCAGTCTCCAGATACAACTGAAATGATATTCCATTCATCAGCTGCTTTTTAAAGATAAGCCCAATACTTGAGAGCAAGACAACACAAAACCATGTGCATGTATCAGCTCAGACTCAGCTGTAGAGCTGGGTTTGAATCCTGTTAGCATGGATGCAGCTCATCAACCTTGAAACCCAAACTGCTCACAGGGCGTGGTTTTGGAAACAGCTTCTCCAACACTTCCCATTCTAAGTCCATATTTACATAAACTAACATTCCTTTGAATAATAAAACACTGGACATGCATCATGCCCAGGTCATTCTCCATTAGGCAAGATCCACAACATTAAAAGTTTGTCACCTGTCCTCTTAACCCATTTTCCTGACAACCCAAAATGCATTGCTATTACTATTCCTCTTCAAGCCATGCGATTCTTTACAATTACAAAGAAATTACCGCTTAAAACACTACATTTTGGAAATAAGATAGTCCAGGATGTCATTCCTTATTTTGGACTCAAGTTTTCACCAAGCGAGAGAGGCGACAAACTTCCTTTTGCCATTAAATATTTTTAAAGGTAAGTCTTCATTACATGTGTTAGAAGAAACATAAAAATTCTCAAGTAAATCTTAATAGACACAAAAGGAGAACTGGAAGTTTCTGGCACGAAGTGATCCCGAAGTGCTGAAGGCAAAGGAAGTTTGTGAGAACCAGTGATGAAGGCTGTAGAACAAACCTGTTGCCACTTGGATATTGTACTACAATGTCATGATCCTCATCAATGCCACAAACTGTTCCAGTTGTTGTTAAAGTTTCAAACATGCCATCAGTCCATCCTCCGTGACCATGCTGCAAAGACTGTACAATTTCCAAATCAAGATCAATGTTCACAAGGTCACCTATTTGCAGCCCACCAGGGTTTCTGTTACCATTTTGCTCACCTAAAATGGAACAAGAAAAAAATGTTTATATGAACACACTAGTTTTCCATGCAATTTAAAGAACAGAAGTTAATTTCTGAGACTCGATGTCTCTGCAACTGTAGTAGTCAATAGGTAAAAGGGAGTAAACAGATAAAAAACAACTCTGAATCTCTGGCTATGGAATTTCCAAGGCAAATAGCAATGACACTGGCAAATGCTGAATACTTGTGACAGGCTCCACTATGGGCTCTAACCAGGATGGTAAAAGCTATCCTATGGTGCTAGACATCTAGATATACGTAAAAGCTCTGATAATTTTGAGATAATCATACACAAAGTACCACCTATCCACTCAGAGGCTGAAAGATAAGCAGAAGTCCCACAGAGAACGGTTTTGAATTGGGTCAGTCCTTGAATGTGGAGAAAGCACTGGCAAAAGAATACCTCCAGAATGACTAACAATGAAAATCTTTACCCTTTAAGTGGGGAGATGACTATAAAAAAAACCCTGCAAGTTTAAAATTAAAACATCCTCCCTGGACAATACCTGCTTTCAAAAGATGTGTCATAGCAAAAATTCATCAGCTGGAGGGAAATGGCATACATTCACATGCATCAAGCGGTGTTAACTGATAAAGGAACACACTTGTGGACATCCTCACTGCCAGAAGCAGAGGATGGTACCTGGTGCTATAAACAGAACAGCGAAGAGTACAACTGCAGAATTCAACTAGATTGAATACAATGGCACCATGAGTGGCAAAGGACAGGATGAGCAGAGTTCCTTTACTAATACTGCTGTCTCTAAGGTGTGGAAGAGCATTTGTTTTTCCTCTTCCAAGCAAGAGGTAATAATGGAGAAAGTGTCCTTGCACTGTAACAGAAGTCCAAACAAATAGCCTGACACAAAACCAAACACATTATTTGGAAGGAGATTGATTCCAGAGCCTTGAAATCCACACCAGATGTTGGCAGTGCTAGTTGCAGCACTAAAAGTCTCCAGAGGACAGAAGAGTGAAGAGGACAATCTGATACTACTCAAGAAACTGCTGAGAAAGGAAACACTGACATGAATACATGCTCATGTTCAACGGACTTTTGTCATCACTCAGTGACTTCTTTCTGTCCTGGTCTTAGTTTAAATGACCTATAGCTGGAACAGTATTTTCAGTCTGCACCCTTCACCTTCACAGCAACACACATGTAACATGGAAACCAGCCACTTCTGCAGAAGACAAAGTCAAAGATTAACTCTTCAGAAAAGCTACTGATATGGAACTCCCTAAGATAGAAAACTTAGACAGCAAACATTGCAGAGACAGCCCTGATGAGACAGAGAAGTCTAAGAAAGAAAGAGACGTAAACCAGCAAAGAGTTATAGAAGTATTAGTTGGAGGAAAGGATCTCTAGAGGTCATCTGGTCTGATATCCCATACAAAGCTGAACTAACATCCAGCTGAGGTCAGCTGTGGCTTTGCTCATCTGAGTCCCGAAAGCCCTCAAGACTGAGGTTCCACAACCTCTCCAAGCAACTTTTTCCACTGCTGCAATATAGCTCTGGGGAGGTAAAAGAAAATTTCTTCAATATCTGATCCAAACCTCTGAGTCACGTAAGGTGGCCTTAAGGCCACCACCACTTGTTTCTATGCCATTTGCCACTACTGAAATGTTGGTGCCATCATCCTTCAAGTGGCTGCAGGTGGCTAGTTCATTATCTCTTAACCCCCTTCTTACCAGACTAAACAAGCCCAGCTCCTCCTTGCAAATCACGTCCTCTCAGTCTCTTAACCACTTCAGCAGCCCGCCATCGGACCCTGCACATTTTCTTAAAACTGGGAAGGGGCAGGGGGGGGAAAAGGAGATGGATGGACAATGACACAAACAGGACACAGAATTCCAAACACAGCTTCATCACCATTGAGGAGAGGGGGGATAACAACTTTTCCTGTTCTGTTGCCCAGCATCCTCCTAATATAGCCCACTATGAAATCTGCCTTCTTCACAGTGACGGCATGCTGCTGCCTCCTTCGATTTGGTATTCAGTGCAATACCCAGGTCTTCCTCAGCAAGGCTCCTCACTCAGGCACTCACAATTCCCAGTCTGGGAATTCCTGGTACATAGGCTTATTTCAACCGGACTGCAAAACTGTACTTCTGATTGAACTCCACGAAGTCTTCAGTCACCAAATTCTTCACTTCCTCAAGGCTCTTCTGAATGAATCTCTACTTCCAACCACACCCCTCCACCAACTTGCTGTCACCTGCAAATTGTCTGGGATTGTATTCCATCTCCCCATCAAGGTCACTGATGTGGTATTGAACAAACCCAGTCCCAGTATTTTGCCCCAACTACATACTACTCCATATTAATTGGGCCCCTGCTGGAGTATTATTTGCACTCCACTTCAAATATCAAAGCTCCAAAAGTAACTGCCTAGTTTTTAATGCAAGCATACATTTAAATTCACAGCACGAAGGTATCTGTGAACTATGTTCAGAAGACAAATAAAAGGGACAGATGTTCTAACAAAGAGCAAGACTGAGAAGATGGAGCATAATCTGGCAAGAATGATGAACTGAGTTCATCATCAAGAGCAACCTAATATAGTGGAAAGGGAAGAATTTAACAAAGAATAGTCTCCTACTATCTTTAGTCATTAACATTTATGCATTCAAATACAGCGTCTCCCCAAGAGTAAGCTACATGCAGAAAATACAGACCTGTACTTTTTAAGCAAGAACCAAAATGAATAAAGGCCATGCATAAGAACCTAAGTTTACCTCTGTGACAAAGAACTAGTATGACTCTATTACTACTCTTCTATTTTTATTCAAGTCAGACTAAATTGACAGAATTAAATTTTAAGCAAGACACAAAGATCGGAGTGCTTTGGCTTTTTACTTTCAAACAATTCATTTACTTGACATTAAATAGCTAAGTGACTTCTTGGACAACCGTTTTTTTTCTAAAGAAAACAGACCTTTACTGTTTGCACCTTTTCACCAATGCTGCCAATAAAAGAATAGCCTGTAAGTACTTGTGCAAGGAATTATATTAAGACTAGTAAACAGAGAGTTCTCATCACTTTAGAAAAGTCACTATTAGCAGCTAAGTTTTTTTTATGCATGGAAGTATACTAAGAAACTTGAGAAGAAAAGCAGTTTTTTCTGTAGCATCCAGTTTTATGACCAGGTGTTTTGCCAAGGAAATACACATTAATGATTAAGAAATTTGTGCCAAATAATCTACAAACTTTATCCCAACTTGCCCATATTTCAAAAAACAAAACACCTGGCAATTATTTTTTTTAGTCTGCACATGTCTACAGTCCAGCTAAGATACTAAAGGAACAAGTCAGTGTAAGAGCCGATATGGAAAAACCTCAACCAAGACTTCAAAACACAGCCTAGCATAGTATAAAATAACAGGTTAAGTTTTATGTTAGAATGACTCCTGTTTATGGCCATGTACATGCTACTTCACTGAACATCTCAAAGTATTTAAGACAGTCTTACAAGAATGCACAGCTATGTTTGGCTCTTTAGAAATATAGTACACAAGACATTACTATTTATTGCTTAGTCAACACTTAACAGCTCTCTTGCCATCCACTCGGTACACTGATACCAAACACGTTCAGAACAGTGTTACAATTTACCATTAATGCCTAGAAATGCTACCATTTACATTTCACTGGTAAAGACAGTCCTTTTTGATTACATTTTAAAAGGAAAGAGAAATCCAGACTAAGTATAATTAGCACACATCAAGATAAATTTACTTTATCTTCAACTCACCTAACACAGGACAGTGGTCCCTGTAGAAAGAGCCTCCTTTTGCATCTTGGACACATTTCAGGTCAGACTACGGAGAGAGATTGAGACAACTTTAGTCCACACTGACTGAGTCCCCAGGTCAACTAAGTCAGTGAAACTAAAACTGAAAAATACACTCAATTAAGAAAGGCTGAAAGTTATGTGTGCAAAACACATGCCCCATGAATTCATTACTGCTGCCTATAATTTCAAATACTTTCCAATCTATCAGCCTTGACATTCTCAAGATTTTAATAACCTCTACCAATATAAAAGGCTATAAAGGATTAGACATTTTTAACTCAAATAAAGGTATTAAAATAACACAAACCTCCTTTGCATTGTTTTATGAAGTTATCTTTCCTTTAAAAAAGTCTGTAAACACAAGCAAGGAAACAAAACCCCCAGAATAAGTATGTGCAGACAGTGCTTGAGGCCACAGCCTTTCCTGTATCGATCATTTAATGCCTGCCAGTGCTGTCCCCTCTTCCCAACCCTTTTTGATAGATACATGCTGAACTTAAAGAAAACCTGGCACCCAAATTCTACAAAATTAAGAATTTCCTATTAAGAATATACAGAACAGAAGGATATTACTTCTTTTTAAAAAACACTGTGCTGAACTAAATATGATGTTTTTAGAAACGGAAGAGTTCTAAAGCTCATCCTCTAAAAAGAGTGTTTCATACTATGTGAGAAACAGAAGTTTCAAGTGTGATAACCAACTCTTATTCATAAAGCCAACGGAGTTCCTGTAATTACCCTTTCCTCTAGTTTTTTTCACCGTGTAACCCTTTAAGCCAAATAGCTACCATCTGCCACTTCTCCTTATGGAACAATTCTCACTGAACAAAGGACATTTTGTGCGCAGGATGAGTTGGGAAGAAGATAGGAAACTGTTTGCAGAATATTCTGCAGGATAGGGGAGGAAACAGAGGACACATGGTGGTTATGATATAATCGACCAGAACTAAGCGAATACTTTAACAATTATTTTTCCCACACCCAAAATTTATTGTCAGACTGTACTCTGCAAAAGGATTAAACCAAAAACTCTCAAGTCTTCCACATCATCGAGGCACTGACGAACACAATTCCATCCTCAGCAGCCTGTGACTGATAAGCAGCCAGAAGCAATACAAAACGCAGTGCGTATCCTCAGCTACAAAGAATCCACCACCGCTTTCTGAAGAAGTGATGAAAACAGCCAGATGAAAATAACAAGATCTCCCCGCTCTTCAACCCCCACGAGAACTGGGAGCTGAAGCTCGCTGGGCCCCACAGCAGCAGCGAGCCTGCAGCAAGGCGCTGCCACCCAGCGAGCGGGCGCCGGGGCTGTTCCCCAGCCCCAGACAAAGGGGCCGTGCTGGCCACCCCAGCTGGCAAGCGCCTTCCATTCCCCAGACCAACACCGACTTCACCTCTCACCCGGGGAATACAAACTCTTCGTGTCACACAACCACCAGCTGCCTGCACAGGAGTCAAGAAGGGGTATACATGCAAGAGCTGCTTCCACATTCTTCAGAGGATTAACAATGGAGCACAGGAGGGTCCTAAACAGTTCTCCCAGCCAGGCCAAATCTGGGCGAAAGATGACTTGCGTTACAGCAAGTGTTAATGTACAGAGCAGAGCGATGGCTAAAAGTGAGCAGAAGAAATGAAATATTCAGTAAAAGGCTAATTACTATCTTGCAGCAGAAATTAGGAGGAAACAGGTTAAGATACCTCAAATTTTATAGGAAAAAAACCAAACCCGGAAACCTACAAATCTGCACTCTCTTTTTACCCTGCCTGTACCATGCCCGGCACATAGTTTATTTCTGGAGCATAACTATATACTTGGCTGTAAAACTAAGTGGTAGCTTAATGTTCAACCTCAGCTTTGCATCTGTCCTCCTTTGATGAAGTCAGTGTTAGATTGCTAAGCAGTAAAACAAGAGTTTGATCTAAGTATCACATAAAAGCAATGCAACACGTTTTGGGTTTTTTTTATATAAGCCTTCACCAAGAAACTGAGGACCCAAAAAGCGCAGAAAGATGAGGCACTGACGGAGATTAAGGCAGCACAAAACTAACTTGTATATATTGTACACAGAGCAAAGAGTTCCTTCAGCAACTCTGCAAACAGCACTAGTAAGAAAAGTAACATCAACATGATAAAGGCCCACAAATGTCTTAAAAACATAACCAACCCCAAAAAAGATCCTGGGGTTTTAGGATACAAAACTGTACTTAGTTGTACTTCAGTACCATGAAAGCTGGGTAAGCAACTATAATTCTACTCCAGCACTCAGCCACTGTATTTATCAGAAAAGGAAACAAGCTTTCTTCTGGCCAAGTAGTTTAAGTAAAAAATCAGGGATGGTGTTAAGCTCCTGGTCATCCTCCCCTGGGGACTGCCTGGCAAGAGGCTGCCCCAGCAAGGATGGAGCACAAACACAGCCAAAGCCTGGCCACAGCAGGCTGCCAGTGCATCGCCGCTGCCAGCTCTTGCGCTCGCTCAGCCAGCTCTGCTGTACCACGCTTCGGAGAAGCCCACTGGGATTTTTACAAGTTATAGGAGTCTCCCTGAGTCTTGTAAGCGGATTGAAATAGCAGATCGTTTGGAGAGGAGACGTACAAGTGCAAAAGGGAACGTACCAAAACACAAGGGATGTTAAAATGCAAGTTTTAGACTCACGGTGACACCGTGCAGAAAAAGAAGTAACAACTGTGAGGTTGGGTGTAAATATGTAGTGGAGATAAACGTGCAAAGATTAAAAAAAGCTAAGCTTTTATACACTAACTTGATGGAGAAATCATGAACCCTGAATAGGATTCTTTTAAGAAACAGAAAAACAAGCTATAGATTTTGCAGAATTTGTGCATAGTTAGAGAAGTGGTGGAAGCCCCAGTTAAGCAGGAAATCATTATAATAAAAACTCAAGGAACAGCACAAGCACAAAACATTGCATAGCAGGACTTTCAGATCATCAGCAGCAGCTGACGCACAGGAGCAGTGGGTAACAGTGGTTTTTGCCTACAGTGGAGAACTTTGGTCTTCTAGCATCTACCTTCTAACTTGCTGAAAAACTCTTTGCATTCCAGCTGTATGTGACTGGATTACACAAACATCGTGATCTGCTCAGCCAAATGGGAAATACAGAAAACAACAGTTTACTTTGACTCACCATCCAATTACACCATTGAAAAACCAGCAGCAATTTCATCATCATAAAAACTTCAGAGAATGAAAAAATGTACATTACAGCAATGTCAGCGGTGTTGGCAGATGGTGTAAAAGCACCATCATCCCTGACCTTGAAGAGGAAAACAACTGCTGAAGGAGCTGCTGCCTACTGGAATAACTGTTAAGTTATTCCAACCAATATGGAATGCATCCATCAAAACCAGGGAGAGAAGTCTACAGAGTTGATAAGAAAACTAGGTGTGCTGCTAAGAAAAAGCAGAATGATCCAGATGCACTGGAATAGCATCTAACACCAGCAGCAAATACCAGGAGAGAAATTAATACTGATCCTACAGATACACCAGCAGGAAGGGTCCCACAGCTGCAGGCGTTTGACACAGCCATGAAGACACCCCTTAAAGGTCATTTCAAGTCTTTAAGCTCACAACAGCTTTTGGCAAGGAAATAAGCCCCTATAAGGCAAATGGAGAAAGACCAGCACATGCGGCTTTGTCACCTGATTGAGGCAACAAGGGACTGGATAAATCCACAAGTTTTAGCTAAATGTTTGTAAGAAATGCTGTATTTCAAGTTTAATGAACTCCAATTATTTTGAGTTTCAAAAGCCTGCGAAAAGTGAAAGCAATAAAAGGAGAAAGCAGAAGATGGTAGAGAAAGTGACTGAAATGACAAAAAGGTGTGAGGTATAAAACCAACAGCAAGAGCTTCTTACAGAAGAAATCAGACCTCATGCAAATCCTGAGTGAATGGTTTCTAACCTTCCTGTCTACTGGTTACAGACACTCATAAAGACTTCCCATGTGTAACTTTTTTTTTTGGAGGAGGATCATTTCAAAGTCTTCCTTGTGGGTTAACACTGTAAATAACAAAATTGGAAAAGGATCAGTAAGTACATTTCTGCTTAATGGAAACACATTTCTAAGCAACCCAGTGGAGAGATTAAAAACTTGGCTTGGTTGAGACTCCAGGAGAAATGTACAGAAGACAGACAACATGAAGAAGTGAAACAAGGTCTGCTGACAGATACAAATAAATGCACAAGGTACACATAAATATCTCCTTGCTCTCTGGATTCCAAAACAACTAACCACCCAACTTTGGCCATGCTGAGTAATGTAACTTAAAAAAAAAAAAAACAAAACAACTAAAAAACCCTACTGCATATGTAAAGCAGCCAAAATTCATGTTTCTCTGTTTTAAATCAGCACCTAGAAGCACCATAAGGACACCAAACTTACAAAACAACAAAAATTCTTGTTGCTCCTTCCTAAACCCCTCACTGTGAACATACTGAGGAAAAGAGAAAAGATTAGAGAGCTGAAGGTTTGAGTTGTGTTACAGACCTGAGAGATGTAACCGCAGCAGAAACCATATTTCTGTACATTTTATAACACTCACCTGCAATGCCTAGTATGCCATGATATTTATTTTGGCTTTTTATTTTTAAAAAAAGTGTTAGTAAGTCATTCTTAAAATCCTCTAGGGCAATTTCAAGGATTATCTTTAAGGGTAACCCAAAGAAATGTTGAACAGACATTAGGTATCAACCACCACAAAAAGTTTGTGGTAACATCAAAAATGCAAGGGCAAGGAATCGTCTCAATTTCCCTAATGCACTCAACTATTCAGAATTCATGGGAAAAAGTACAAACACAGATGGGTTACAGGTCCCCGTGACAATGATCGATGGTAACTACAGTTAGTTCTTTCACACGAAAGCACGATCCTCCATAATGAACAACAAGAGGAAGTTAATGACAGCAAAAAACGCAAGTGATACAGCGCAAAGAAATTGGGTAGCACAAAATCAGCTCCTAATAATGAGACTGATTTAGGGCACTCCTCCTGATGGAACTATTTTCTTAGTTTTTTATAGCAAAATCATTCTACTAGTAAGTAGTAGAACATAATGCTTATTGAAAACAAACGGAAGCTATCAGCTTTATATTCTCAGCTGTGTGATATGATGAAAAAAACTAGAAAAAAAACCACAAAGAAGTCCACAAAGCTAAATCACAATCTTCTCATTAACTTTCTATCGCCACAGAGTGTCTCTTTGTTGCAAAAGGCTACGTTCACACGTTTCTAACACACGTAATGTGGTTAACAGCCTGATCTGACTCTAGAAGTTGAACAGATACAGATAGGAAATGTGCGCAGTGTCAATAACCACATTAGCCACCACTACTGTATTCCTACTACGGATGTAGCAAACATGTTATTCAACCTAACAGCATCATAAAAACAGATTTCGATTTGGGAATTTCTGTGGCAGCAGAAACTCCCAGAATTAAATGCCAGGCTTCACAAAGAAAGGCAAGATGCACCTCTATTAACTACTTCATATGTAAACACAGCAACAGCAAACTCAAATACCATCTCTGAGGATCTGACCACAAACAAATGCAAGTTTTCAGCCAGCACCTGCTGCCCCACCAGCCAATCCTCCTCTCTCCCAAGGAAATGCTGCCAGGCAAGATAGATTTGATTTTGAGGACCAGATGCAGCCTGTCAGCTATCAAACAAGCAACCCTGACTTACAATAATAAGCTGCGTTTCTTTAATCAGCTGCATTTGCATCTGAGTCAAGCGTTACTCATTTGCAAGTAGGGGTCTCTTCCCAGCTGTAGATACATGGGCACACACTCTCAGTATTGTTGACTCCACATTCTCTGGACATTTTTAACCAATTTCTAAGTCCCAAATCAAGTTTGCCCCAACTTTAAATGAACTTTCTGACAGTCTCGTAGTCAGCTTTACCTAACAGCACATAAATAGTAGTAATCATAATAAATTGTACACATCGCAACCAATTAATCAGTTCTAAAATTTAGCATTACATTCAAATGACTATTTGTCACAGACATCCAAGAATCCATTCTGACTAGAAGTGCAAACTGCATTTGATAAAAGTATCCAACAAAGATAAAATTATTGCAGGAACGGATTACAATCAGATAAGCACTACATATAAAGCCTCAAACCATCCTTTTTATACCTATGTACGTATATTATTTATATATTACCCTACATAAATAATATATACACATATCTAGTTTCACACATGTTTTAACAGTTTTTTGCTGTTAATTGAATGACTGACCAAATGTTCTTATTTGTACAAGTCTTGTGGGAAGGGTCACCCCTATCCATTCAAATTTACAGTTGCAGTATTAATCAAGTATTCTAGAAATATTTAACACTTCCTTATGTGGCAGTAGTTTGGCAACAGAATATAGTTGATTTATGAATAATAAATATATTTTTATCATTAAGGGAATAACTATTACAGAACAGAATATAACTTATCTTAAATGTATTTTTTCTGTGGCCAGAAGGAATCTTTCATGATTCCACAGCACTCCTACTATGCAGTCCACACGTTTTAACACAGTAACTGAAATCCCAACAATGATGAAATAGAAATTTGATCTGTATCTCATTCTACCCAGGTTTTTTATCTGTGTTCCTTTTCCATGCATCACAATCAAATATAAGGGGGAACATACCAACCACTGGTTTAATAATATTATACTACAAAATACTACCTATAACTTTCTTTCCTTTTGGCAGTATATAAGGAATTTTCCTTAGAACTGGGGGGGGGGGGGGGGGGG